CGGCAAGGCAAAACGGGTCTGTTGGGCGGGGGGTTCGAGGAGGCAAACGAGGCAAACGCCAAAAAGTCAGCCAAAATCAAGGGAAGCCGGGCGACGGGGTGGAAAATGCAGGCAAAAAGCGGTGGGGTCCTACGTTTCGCCTGGAAACACCATTAGGTGGAGGGTACTTGAGGTAACCCCCAAGACGCCTGGGCCTGTGGCCTCGGCGGATCCCTGAATAAAACCAAATAGTAGGAAAAAGGGTACCTTGTTATTTAGGGGCTACTGGGGAACCTAGTTTGGATTTAGGTTTGCGAGATGCCTTAAGGGGTCGGTCAAAGAGTGAATTCACCCACTCCGACAGCCTTGAGACGCTTTGCCAAAACGAGGTCAAGAAGTGCAATCCAAAGCTTCAGCCGGTGCTGCCGCTTTGGCGCTTCCACACGGTGTGTGACGAGATGACGACATCGCATTGGACATCGGCTGTGAGCAGCCCTCTCTCGGCTCGGTCTTTGTCTCAAAAGGAGGCTGGTGGCCTCCAAGTAGGTGGTGTCAGCGGACATGCAATGCCACTCCGATTGAAGAGGTCGGCTGCGGTGTGACAACTTGACCGGACGGTGGATTCTTTGCGTTTGTTGAGGTCTTGAGGTTTTTCTGGACCCTAGGGCCTCAGGTGCTAGGGCTTGCTTTCGTGCCCGATTTCGGTACTATTGCGTAAACTCAAAGCTCTAAGCCATACGTCCCAAAACCACATTCTAACAAATTGATTCTTGTGTCTATATTATCCCTAGTACTACTGTTTTTCAGTATTATTTCCACTGCTTTTAGTTGATATCAGCCTTGTTGTTATTATCATTACCAGTACTTTTTATGTTACTATGATTTTTGGATTGCTGTTATTCGTACTTTTAACATTTTTATCGCGTCCCCTATGTTACCAGTCTTGCGATGTTAGTCCCTGCTTGCACGGATGAGTTCAGGGCCACTCGTTCCTTGCCACGGCGGCTAGCATAGCTAGGGTTTAGGGTTTAGGGTTTAGGGTTCAGGGTTTAGGGTTTAGGGTGGCGGTGAGCTCAAGCCCTGAGAAGAAGAGGGGTGTGGGGTTTCTGGGCTTCGATTCACTGGATTTGAATTGCAGAAGGCTTTCATTAAGCCCTGAGCCAGAAACTTTTTCAACCCCCCAAGCCGTGCGCGACAGCCGAAACCGTAAGCTTGAAACATTAAGTTCAAGCCAGACACTCATCAAACCCGAAACCCCACGATAGGGTTAGGTCTGTGCGCCGTTGGACGTAGCGTTGCGATGCTCCTCGAAGGTCAATTACAGCTTCAGGTTCAACCCAACTGACCCCTAAACCCTAAACGCCTAAACCCATCGAGCCTAAACCCTACACCCCTAAACCTCTCAAGCCTAAACTGTGAACCCCTCAAGCCTGAACCCTAAACCCCTAAACCACTCAAAGACCCCGAACCCCTCAACCCTAAACCCTGAAATACGGTCCGGGGGTTCAGGGTTTACGTTGTTCAAGTAAACCGTTTACGCTGAAGTCACCAAACTCGAAAAACTTCAGAACACCAACCCTAAATTGTTAATCCTCAGCCCAGTATAGAACCGGTAAAGAAACCTTCACAGGAGCAATAAAAGCCATTCCTTTTCGCCACTCGAACAAAACCAGAAAGGAGCTCTAGTCTCGAAATTCCGATGCCCGAAGCCTTAAACCCTACCTTAATCAAACCCAATAACCTACCTGGCTAAAGGTGTATAGGGAACTCACACTGAGAAGCCCTAAACGCGTAGGTTTTACAGTGTCCAGGTAAACCCTCAACCCTTAACCCCGAAACCCAAAGCCTTAAACCCCAAACCCTGAACCCCTGACCCTTAACCCGGAAACCCCAAATCTTAAACCCTAAACCCTAAATCCTAAGCCCTAAACCCTAAACCCTAAACCCTAGACTTAGACCCTAAACCCTAAACCTTAAAGCCCAGATAAAACCAAAACTCTCCTGGCTCAGGTTGGTGCCCCAGATGGCCGGGATGAGCGCCGCAGCGATCAACATCGGTCTGGTGGTTTTGGTTCCTTCAGGGTTTAGGGTTTAGGGTTTACGGTTTAGGGTTTAGGGTTTAGGGTTTGGGTCTTCTGCGGTTTTAAAGGGGTTGCAGAAGGTTCGGTCGGATCTTAGAAGTCGTTCTCGAGTTGATGAAGGCTCACAATCTTTGCACTCAGCTCCGGGGCCAATATTAGGGTTTAATAAGCCGAACCAGCCCTTAGGGTCCCCAAGCCCGGAACCTCTGTGCCAGCCAAAAGGCTCACTTCGGCACAGTTTCAGGTATATTTATACTTCTCACTGGGGTGTTCAGCTGCCACGCAGCACCCTATACCCTGATCCCCAAAGCCTGGGCTCTCTCTCTGCCTGTCTGTCTGTCTGTCTGTCTCTCTCTCTCTCTCTCTCTCTATATATATATTATATTACATCTCTCTCTCTCTCTCTGTACATATATAATATCTGTGTATATATATATATATATATATGGATGATATCTCTCTCTTACTCTCGCTCTGTCGCTCGCTCTCGTCTCTCTCGTACAGGAGCTTGAACAACCAAGGCTCCTGTGTTACATACCCCTGCGAGGGTTTAGGGTTTAGGGTTTAGGGCGGCATAGACCCCCCCCCCAGGTACATCCACCGAGTGGGCCGCACAGGAAGGGCGAGCAGCGCAGGCGTGGGTCCAGCAGCATATCGGAGCTACGGTGGGGGTTCAGGCTTTAGAGGTTTAGGGCAGGTCCATTCCTGTTATGCTTTGTTTGTTTGCGTGTGCGCGTGTGTTGGAAATTTAGTCGGTTGAGTGCTGTTGCTTTTTGTCGGTCTTTGGGTCCAGGGTTTCAAGATGTCTGAAGAAAAGAAGCATGTTCAGATAGTATTGGGAAGCTTGTAAGTTTGAGGTATAAATTCCTTCGCCCCTAAGGGCCCGACCCGGACTCTCCAAGCCTGTCTAAGTAGTCAAGGTATGAGCATATGTACTTCAAGGCCTACCGCGAAAAGACGAGCTTACTTTTGCAGTTCACGGTAGATCCCTTTTCAAAGTGTGCTGTAGGACGCTCTGGGCAGAACTTGGAGTGGTGATTCACAGGAAGGAGGTTGCTGAAACTTGGGGGCGGATTGGGGTTTAGGGTCACGTTTAATGTGGGTCCGTATTTCTCTGAGTTTAAGATGGGAGGTAAGCTGGACACCGTGGCGGATATCTCAGCTGCTGTGCTTCAATGTGCGAATTCGCAGTTTCTAGGGTTTGTTTTCGCACTGAGGGTTTGTTTGCATCAAACATGCGTACGATACGGCGCACCATGACGGCATGCTGCTCGCCTCGCATCTCGCTGGGATATTTGAAGTTGCGTGGCGTTTGCTTCCAGATTTGTTGGCCATGGATTCTGCAGTGGTTTCCCTCGGATGTTGTATTTGTGAGGCACTCCACCAGCGAGCGGGAATCCCACAGGGCAGCAAATTTAGTGTTCAGTTTTAACGGTCCGCATGAGGTTCCTTGCAGATATTCTTACCTCGGAAGGCAGTCCAGCAAAGACTTTGCTTGCAAGCTTTGCTTCTGATGTGGTTGTGGCTACGTGAACCCAGCTCCCAGATCTGGCGTCGCTCATTGGCACACTTGCTTCAGCAATTGTCCAGGCACCTTCAGACGTGAAACCAGACGGTTGCCGATTCACTTACTGGGTCGAATTCTTAAGAAATCATTCTGAACAAAGGCGCTTCATTGCTTGGAGTTTTTAGGCAGAAGCCCGTTTGGACTTTGACTCTTTATCGACGATGTTGTGGCGACCCTTTTGCTTCTGCTGCAGATGTGACGGACGCAGTGTTATTTCGATTAGACACTTGCTCCAAACTTGCGGGTGCTGAATTAATCGTGGACCCGCTAAGACTGCCATTCTGGCATGATGTGACTCTCCACCTGCCGCCAGAGAGCACCTCATGTGATAGTTACAAGCTGTTGGGTGTCTTGTTGGACAAGGAGTTGTCCTTGGACGCCAGGTCGGTCTATGCGGTTGATTAAGATTGGTGCCGTTTTGTTTGTTCTGACCTCTAGTGGTTGCTCAACAATTTGGACTGCGACCGCCTGTGCCGGCTGCCGCATTTGTTGGGAGAACTGAATTTGTTATCCTGCGTGCTGCCGAATTGTTGGCACTCATGCCATCTATCCTGCCGAAGTTGGATGCTCTGCAGTGCTGATCGGCTAAGGAAATCCTGGCAGGCAAAGCTGGCACTCGTCGGGTGGACCTTTGGCTGTTGCTGTCATGGTGTGGCCGCTGAGACTGTCCTGGGGGATACTCAAAATTTTCGGCCTAGAGATCACCCAACGGTGGAAATTCTGTCGACTGCAAGTGCCCTTATGACGGGAGCTTGTTGGCATGCCGCACAGGGGTTGAAAAGCCACGTTTGTGAAGGGCGTTCTTTCCCAGGCATTAATGCAACGAAGTTTTTGGACGCCCGTGCTCAGATCCTGCAGCACGGTAAGCTCGGTTGAAACGATACAAATCTCAGGTTCTGTTGCCCCTACTCGTGGCTCGTGACGAGCCTGTGTTTCGTAAGTCTGCGGAAAAACAGCTGTATGGTTTTGGTGCATGTTACAAAGATTTTGGCGACAGCTCTCGCAACAAACGCCGGTCGGAGTTCCTACAGCATTTGCAATATGGGGAGTGGGCCTTGGTGAAGGTGTGGCCTTTTGCGCGGTTGGCAATCCAATGGCCGTCAAGCTCGTGCTCCGGCAAAGATCCCGCTGATACTATTGACGCATGCCTGCACTGTGGCCTGCAGGAAGCGAGTGTTGCACATGCTCTCTACCAGTGCCCGTCGCCAGCAGTTTTCGTCCTCCCGATTTTCTAGTGCTTGCAATCCGGAAACATTGCTGCAGATTGCTTTTTAATTGTTTATTTTGCTCCACAGCACGATCTTGGTCGAAGCGGACGCAGCACGGGTTCGGTATGTAGGCTTGGTCGCGACAGCAGCTTTCAAGCAGCATGTGCAGCTCTGAAACACTCGGTTGTCGCAGGGTTCTGTCTTTTGATCCGGTTTTTGAATTTGCTCGGGGTTCGGTGGCTCCGCGGTTGGGTATTTAGTCATGCTCAGGGCAGTGTTACGAAACACTGTGTTGTTTACCTTAGCATCTGCCAGCCTAAGCCTGGGTGACGGCTTTTGAGTGAGCGCATTGAAGTTAATCCCTTCCGTAGGGTTCCCAAATATCACTGTGGCAGAATATGTTTAATATGATCAGACCTTCCTTACCTTTTCTCGTGGCCAGGACTAGGAGTGCTTCTATTGCACGACTTTGAGCGAGACTTTCTGGCCACTCGGATTTTCAATAACTGTGGAATAGGCTTCCGGGTTTCGGGTTGATCTATTTTTGGCAATCTGTTTTGCGGACACACGATTCGAAGCTTCCGCTGCGTTTGCTTCTGCGTTCCCTCCACACAAGTTCCTTACCTCTTAGCCCCTCACCATCGCTATCTCTACGTCTTGGTCCCGAGGATCAAATCGGTGACCTGCGGATATCGGAAGTACCGCTGGAGGTGCGCCGGAAGTGAGGTTCTATCTGAAGCAGAGGTAGCATGGTTCAAGCATGTTCAACCCTATCACGTTTTACAGCTTCAAAAAATGGATCTTAGGGTTGTTGAGGGGTTCACTGTCTTGTCGGGGACAAAGAAGGCTGGTAGTGTCTTACGACCGGAACATGTCAATCAGATTTCAGAGCTGTCGGAACAAGTAGTAACAATATACTTTCATAGCGGCCTTATATGTAGGATTATGTAGGTATACATCCCAAAGCACTATTCCAATTATTGGAGACCCAGGCATTACAGAGCGTGCCCATCCTTTCGAGGCCCGGAGTCCCGAATGCCAAGTTCCAAGCCCAAGCCCGAACATGTACACGTCGCGGCCCAGAAGATTAAAGAAAGTATAGGGCATTTTCCGAATCAGAATACGGTTGGGGGGTTACACTTAGTATATCATACACTTATGACAGGGGACACTTGCAAACTCAGCGGTCACTTTGGCCAGGGGGGTCGTGGTGTTGGCGCCAAGTTCGATGCTGTTTCAGGAGTCCCATCCTCAAAGGGTCCAAATGACCGTATAATATATACTGTTGGGGCTCAAACATTTATTAAGAGCTAGAATGGTACTTGGACCCTTTGGGATCTATAGGGGCCCTCAAACGGAAGCTCCGAAGAGGCGGTGGATGCGCCGGAGTTTGCAGCGATGAAGATCGGGACGAGACTTGGGCTAGTTACCAGTTCTGTATCATCCCCGTCACCTCAATATTTGAACAAATTCCCGAGGCAGGTCAAACTGCGTGTTTACGACAGAAGTTCCACTAGTACGAATCGTGACATTGGTGACGGGTACCACAGTAGTAGTAGTAGTAGTAGCGGTAGCAAGAATGTAAATATGATGGTCACCTAGCTCAGTAGCAATCTTAGCAGACGTTTATGCTAACAACATGTTCGCCAAAGAACAAATCACTGTTACAATTGCACAAGCAGCCACAATCGTTATCATCGTCATCATCCCTATCACGGTCGTCATGATGGTCATCATCGTCGCTGTCGTCGCCGTCATCATCATTATCATCATTGTCATCATAATCTTCATCATCATCATCATCATCATCAACATCAACATCAACATCAACATCTCTTATCCATAATATATAGTTATCATTATCATCACCATGCACCCATGCATCCATCCATCCATCAATACATTCGTTCTTTCGCTACCATCAGCTTCTTCATTGGAAACATCATGTCATCATTGTCATCATCTTCATCACTATTATAAACCGAATGCCAAGCGCACGACCACCGTCATTGGAATACATTTTTTGCCACATATGGCCATTAATTGATGCAGATGCCGCTGCCCACAAACCGATACATAACAAGTAGGCAGGCAATCAATGCTTCATCAGACAGCTCAATGTCTAGGAAGTTGCAAGCAGTTTGTGCGGCGCTAGACCGCTAGACAAGGGCACACAAGCAAGCAGTGAACACGTTGGACCCGAGATGCAGGTGCAAGCGTATAGGAACGAGAGCATGTGGTTGTATGTATTTGCTCAGACACATTTACTTGTCCCATGAGAAATCGCTTTCCTTCAGGCTATTGTTCAACACTGATGTGCCCACAGCACTTCAACCCCTGGAAGTTGTCCCGACACCCTGAACAGTAATCCCTGTAGAATATGCAGCGGATCAAACCTTTGCGGGGTTTAACAGTAGCATGTCGGGAGGGTTACAGAAAACGGATCTGGGATTGGAGCTGCAGATTGCAGGAGGAGCGGTGCTCAAACCAGCACTGGTATTTAGGGAAGGAGGTGGCAGGAGGATTAAGGCCAGGGACAAGATGTAAAGAGTCAACGAGTGGCTTGAAGGTGTTGAGTTTTTACATTGAAGCCTTGTGGCTCAGTAAATTACATGGGGTCTTATGGATTCTTGCTATCTACTCGTTCTATATATATATATATATATTGGATTCTGCTGTCGAACACCCTTTGTCTGGCCGATGGCAACACGGTTCTGCAGCTTGTTTTTGTTTTTTGTTGCAGAGCTCTTGACAGATTTCCTCGGGTGTGCGGCCTAGGATTGAGCGGGTAGAGTCTGGAGTCATAAATAAAAGGAGGGAACTGTAAACGGGATTACTTGAAGCTCTGCGATCATCTCAGTGCAGTTAGCATAAGGTATGAGTGGGGGAACGAATGTCATGCGTACCTCTAACCTCTAACCTCCTTTCAAAATTCTTCTAGCCATACTTACTAAGTCCTTTTATGCCTTTTATGCTTGGAATCTCGTTCTGTATCGAATCGCCTGCTCCTTCAAGGAACGTCAAAGCTCAAGCATACTACTCGCGGATCAACCACGTCTTGAGGCCTGGGACAACACGGCACGATAGGGATTCCAGATGTTCGCGTATACAAAGCTATTTGTAACTGTATGTATATATGCACACACGTGTCTATGCACATGCCTTCCGGCCCATATCCTTATGCAGCTCTGTGTTTTTGTCTGTTAGCGTGCTACTGCTACCTGCCTAGCTGCCCGCCTCCTTACTTGCCTACCTTCCTGCCTGGCCTGCTTGTCAGCGTGTTAGCAGATATTTTCTGTGCTCATGCAATTGATCATGACAGACCGAAAAGCCGCATGTATGTGCCGTGAAGCCCATGCAGAAGCATGTAGAGGTTGATGGTGAAAGATGGCTGAAATCGTAAATGGGAGGCTTCATGCATGGATGAACAGCAAACAGACATCTAGGTTGTCACACAAAGCTGTCACATAATTCCGAAGCATAGCGCAACCAAGCCCTTGAACCCACCTTCATGAGCCCGAGAATCCCCCACGCAGACGTCGAAACAGCGGGCCTTCAACCCTAAACCGTGAACGCTCAATCTAGTTCCTGTTTGTTCGGGCCCCTCTGTAATTTCTAGATCTGAAGCCCAAAGCCTCAAGGCGTTTAGAGTTTTAGGGTTCAGACTTCAGTCTGGGGTTTAGGGCCGTTTAGGGTTTAGGGTTAAGTTTGGTGTTTAGGGTTTTGGGGGATTCGGCCTTCCAGACCCTGCGTTTGATCGTTGAAGACGGCTTGGCTACTCGCAGCGATGCGGGAGGCTGCTGTTGTTTGTCGACCTAGACTCACGTCACCAGATCCTCCAAGAAGACCCTGAACCCCAATTCAACCCGAAAAGGTAGAAGAACGGATGCCTGCCCACCATGGGCTTTGGAGCGCAAGCGACAGTAAAGGCCCTTAAAGACAAAAGCCGACAAGCTCTTGTCCCACAGCTTCCTTGCAATCGCTTTTTCTCGACACAGCCAGTCTGGTTCAAAAGCGTAGGCCTCGGTGGTTAATTCAAAGGGGCTTTAGACACGCTCATGGAAGTTTCCGAATGGATGAGTTTCTTCATTATACTTGGGACTATTCACTGGGCAACGAGCAACAAGGATGTGAGAGAGTTGCTGTCGATGGGAAGGAATTATTGGCAGCAACGATCGGCTCTTAGCCTTCACGAGAAACGCCTGGACATTTCGATGAGTCAACTGAGGGAGCGGAATTTTGTTCTGGCATGCCGCATCTTGCGGCATGGTAATTTTGCTTCGATGATCACTTGTCCTCTCGTGCAGGCTCACGATCGGCGATCGTGTGCTCTCTTCCTGTTCGCGTACGCCTGCTCCTATACGATGCACACCTTGATAGCCAAAGGAACTGTCGTTTTGTCGACATCAGGACTGCGCAAGCTCATCCTTTTCTACTATGCCCTGATGTTTGTGAGCATCTGGTTCTGGAAGGCTGTGTGCTGTTACTGTTGTCAGATACTGTTTACGGCATAACATGTAAGCCTGAACAATTATTAGCAGCATTCCTGAACAATTACTAACGGCATTCCTTGATGCTGTTGCTCATAAACTCCCAAACCGTATATATTGAAGCAGCATTAAGGTCCCGACTCTAAGCATGGAGCTCCTACTTGCAGAACCCAGGTATTTGGATGCCGGAAGCTGGAGTATCCCAGAGGGCCGTCTTGGTCTATCACTTCATTGCTTCTCGTACAGATAGTAAGGGGTCTAGGGGGCTAAGACTTAGGTACTAAGGCAGGGGCCTGCCCATATCATTCCCTCAGTCAGGATTCCTTATCGTAACTGTACTGCAAGTATACAGCAACAGCATATGCGAATGATTAAATCCATTATAAATATATACATATCTACGGCGTTTGGGGCCTTGGGGGTCAGGGTTCAGGGATATCTTTCGCTTTCACCTTTCCATGTCAGCAACGACATCGGCCGCAGCAGTATTTCTGACAGGTATTATACCACGATATAATGGGGTTTTAGAGCTTATAAGGTTTTTAGGATTTGGGGCTTGGGACATGTAGCGCTTGTAGGGCTTAGGGTTGCACGCAAACTCAACTCGAGGCGTGCGTTTGCTATGTCGACAGTGCAGTTCATATTCCAGCCAGCCTTGTGATGTTCCTTGGTCGGCTTTGCCATGGATTCATGCTTTATGGCAAAGATCCTTGGCACTTATACCTTAAGCCAGTAACCTGGTAAGTAGGGTGATCTGCACCTCAATCGGGGCTATAGATCAGTATGGCTGTGGATACCTTTCGTACCACCATTTACCAAGTACCCTGATCCTTGAAATAATGCCGCAACGATCTCGAGGCCCTCCAGGTCCTGAAGACTGTCCAAGGCTTGGTAAACCCTAACCTTAAACCTTTCATGAACCGTATGGAAATGGAGTTTGTAGTTAAACCCTAACCTTAAACCTTTCATGAGCCGTAAAGGAAATGGAGTTTGTAGTGCTGCACCAGAACCTCAAAAGCATCTGTCTTGCTTGGGCCTGACGAGAAGAGGCCAAGTATTTGCGTTCAGGTGTCTGGACCCCCAGCCTAGCGATTATAGTTTCCACTAGGGGGAGAGAAGACTGCTGCTTCGAATGAGCATACGATTTCGGGATTTAAGGCTTCCCTCGCCTCGTTCGGAGCCTTCAAGCCAAAACCCCGAAACAAAAAAGCCCGAGCTATCAGCGCAAGGCAACCTGGCTCGGTGTTGCGGAGTGCTAGTTTGCCACTCCAGGGTGTTTTTCAGCATGCCGTCACCAAGGAGTTTCACTTCATGGAGTTTGCCTTCGATCATGGAGCGGTCACGATTATCGTTATCATCTTTTCCATTGTGCTGGAGCGGACCCTGAGGCGTTTTTGTTCGCCGAAAGCCTTCCGAAGCCCGCAAACCCTAAGCTCGTAAACCCTAAACATCTATGGCCCTGAATTGTTAAACCCTATAAACTCTAGAAACCCTAAGCTTTGAACCCTAATCATCTATGGCCCTGCATTCTTAAACCCTATAAACACTAGAAACCCTTAGCTTTAAACCCTAAACATCTATGGCCATGAACTGTTAAAGCCTAAACTCTATAAATCCTTGGCTTGAAACCCTACGGAGCGCTCAGGGACCGCTTGGCAGCACAGTTCAGGAACTCGGACGCGGAGTCCATGATCTCTGCTTTCCGCCAAATGCTTCGAGGTTTCGAGTCGGATCCGGGATTGGGGTTTAGGGTTTAGGGTTTTAGGGTTTAGAGTTTAGGGGTTTAGGGGTTTAGGCTTAGGGTCTAGGGTTTGGGGTTTAGGGGTTTAGGTTTTAGAGTTTAGGATTAAGGGGTTTAGGGTTGAGGGTTTAGGGTTTAGGGTTTATAATTTTAGGGTTTAGGGTTCAGGGTTCAGGGGTTTAGGGTTTAGGGGTTTAGGGTTTAGGGGTTTGGGGTTAGGGTTTAGGGGTTTAGGGTTTAGGGTTTAGGCGTTAGGGTTCAGGGATTCGGGGTCTGGGGATTACCGGTGCTTCGACGTTTTTGGAGTGTCAAGAAACTTAGGGGTTGGGTAGGAAGTCTTGCGCCTTCTTTGGTTACTACCCAAAGTCCAATTGCCAAAGGTTAACCCTTTCCGACTAAGATACACAGCCCCCTAGGCCCTGGGTGTGGGGATTTGGGGTTTTGGGGTTCGGATTTCAGATGCTTCAAGGTGTCTGTGACGGCGAAGTGCTGCTGGATGACAATCTTCGCATACAAGAGGCTTGGTCATCAAACAAGCACCCACGTTTGGGTGGGCTGGTCGGGAAGCCGAGCCTTTTGCCCAAACTATGGTACCCCCCCGCAGTGTCAACAATATAGGGGCCTAAATAATCACCTATACTATTCTGGGGTTCCTTATTAGGATTATAGCATAATGGGCCCCAAACCCTATTCTAACTTTCAAGGCCCCTATATTGGGTGTTTGTGTTTAGGGTTTAGGGGTGTTTCTGGTTGGCGCACACCTGTTTATCGCTTCCTGAAACTATATGCGGTAGTGGGGATCCTCACAGTCCATTCTAAAGCGGTCGAATTGTCTCAAACTCAAACCTTAAACCCCGAAGCCCAAAACCCAAAGCCCTAAGCCCTAAACCCTAAACCCTGAACCGTAAACCCTAATCCCAAAACCCCTTAAATCAGTACCAAGGAAGGCGCCGGATGCTTAAATCGGCTTCTTGGCATCTGAGCTTGGCAGACCCCAGAGAGGGCTCCTTTTCGGGGTCCTTTTTCATAAAGGTGCCGTACTATTGTGGGCTCCTAGAAACGGACCCCAATTTAGAGAAGTACCCCTGAGGTCAGGTTGAAGAGGGTGCATAGGGTTGAGCCCGGAGTTGGCGCCGCCAAAATTGGATCCTTGGAAGGCCCAGACCTTCACAAATCCCATATACGAGGCATGCATCTCTGACGCCTGCACCCTGAATTCAATCTCAAATCCTGTATAGAAACACGCAAGGCATCTCCTAAATCCCAAACCTCGAATCCTTGAACCGCCAATCCATAACTCAGAACTCAATGTAAGAAGACCCAGAAGCATCTCATAGGCCTGAACCCAAAGCCCGAAGAACACCCGAAACCTGAAATCCTTAAAGAAAGGAACCCAAGGCATCTCTTCAGCTTAAACTCTACGTAGACGCAAGAACAACTCAAAACGAAGTTGTATGTATTCACGACAAGCTGCTCGTGCAATACCCGACCCTAGCCCAACCCAGTCCAGACTAGCCCAGGCTCAACCAATTCCGGGGGCTTTCGAAGGCTCTATAGACTCTAGACTAAACCTCGTCAACTGGAGTCCTCCCAACATGTTCAAAAGGAGGTCCCCTAAGCCCTAAGCCCAGAAAGCCACAAAATTAAGCCCAAACTCGTGTTCTGAGGCGCGGCTGTCTACAGCTCCACAAAGTTGATACAGCAACAAGACGGGGGTTTAGGGTTTAGGTACATGACATGAGACATAAATCCTGAACCGACCCTCCCCAAACAAAAAAGCACCAAACCTTCAGCCGTGGTTGACTTTGATGGCTGAGGCTCTTGTCGCCCAGCGACTGCCTGGACAAGAAGATCTTTCCAGACCTTCTTCTTCAGGAGTCCTGAACCAGAAACTCTATAAGTTAAGCCCCAAACCCTAAACCGTAACTCCTAAATTTCAGGAAATCACCCAGTCAAAGGGAACTGAAATTGTGTTTGCAGTTGCCGTTGTGGTTGGATTAAACGGGCCGGCTGCCGTAATCATGATAAATCCTCTGAGCCTGCAGCCCCTTTCGCGCTCCAGAACGCGCTAGACTACAGGAGCTAGTGCAAGATTTCGGTTGTACTAGAAGGTGGGTAGTTGTCAAAATGATGGTTCCTTTTGGGGTACCCTAAATAATGGGTGCCGTATTATAATAAGGACCCAAAAAGGGACCGTAATTTTGACAACCACCCAGGTGGAAGCCGAGCTCTTCGAACACTTCTACTACGAAAGGAGCCCTATAAAGCCTCAACCAGCAACCAGAGCAGGATTCAGACGAGCTGGAACGCTTTGAAAAGTTCATCTCGCAGCCGCTGGATCTTCATTCTTCGGCTGCGCAACTTCCTGCCCCATGTCTTCGCCTGTCTTTGCAGCAACTTGGTCCTCCAGTTACTTGTGCATGATGGTCTCCTAACCAACCAGGTACCTACTATATAGGGCCCTCGGGGCTCTAGTACCCTACATCGTAGGTACCTGGGGGGGTTAGGGGTCTATTGTAGGATTGGGAGTTCGAGACTGGGGACGCACGAACACTTCAACACGCATTGTCGAAACTTAGCCGACAGGGACAGTTCTTGGGCTCCGATGAGAGTGGATCTGACATTCTTCTTTCGGGTTCCGGATACTGAGCGGACGCAACGAGAATCAAAAAGCGTCGTTGTCAGCTAAGACACCTCAATTGCTGAACACAGAGCAGAAATCCAAAGCCCGGAAAACCTTGCCGTTCTGCGCTGCGCCCCTCACTGCAGCAAACGAACAGGCCTACCCACCCGCGGCCCTCCCTCCAGTCTAGGTCGTCGAATTCCCAACGAGCTGGGGTCGACGTCTATCACGTGGCCTTGCAGCATCTCTTTGGCTGCGAAGGCTCTTACCATCTCCTGGGCTTGAAGCTCGATGTCGAGTCGCAGGCCCCATGCCCGAGCTGGTGTCCTTCTGGTTGCTTGCACGGATATACATATGCACACACACACGCATACGTCTAGGCATGAGTACCTGCACATATGTGTATACATATATACACGTGGTATCTTTCTATATCTGCATACACACATACATACATGCATACATACATGCATACTTTCGCAGATACATATACATATATAGATATGTATATATATACACATATATATATATATGTATCCACACCTACATGTACGAACACAAAGACATGTTCGGACACCCTTTCTAACTAGTCTAGCATCAGTACTACTAGAGCTACTACTTCTAGTGCCATGGTAATTGTCGTCGTGGTCGTAGTCGTCGTCGACGTCGTCGTAGTAGTAGGAGTTTTAGTAGTAGTGGTAGTAGTAGTAGTAGTAGTAGTAGTAGTAGTAGTAGTAGTAGTAGCAGTAGCAGCAGTAGTAGTAGTAGTAGTAGTAGTAGTAGTAGTATTAGGAGTAGCAGTAGCAGTAGCAGTGGTAGTAGTAGTACTAGTAGTAGTAGTAGTAGTAGTAGTAGTAGTACTAGCAGTAGTACTAGTAGTGGTAGTAGTAGTAGTAGTAGTAGTAGGTAGGTTGTAGTGGTAGTAGTAGTAGTAGTAGTAGTAG